TGTAACCTTCTAGGTCTCCCAGGAATATGTCAGCCTTTTTAAAGTGCCCTGAAGACGTCTCATTCCCCAGATCTTCCTTTTAAGTTTTTTTCCAGATCCTGATTATCTACACTGGTAATATAGCCTCAGACAGCTGCTATTTAAACTATTGCTGCTGGCTGTTTTGGATAAACACTCAGGGGACAGGGTTTTTCTGGGAGTTAGCTCAAAGTCAGGTCAAACAAATGGCAAGGTCTTGTGTATAGGTTTCTTCTACGGAGTGGCAAGACAGATCAAATAGTGGTAATGCTCTGGGTATAAAATGGGTCTTTTTGAGGAACTCCAATCCTGGTCTTCCCTCTCTGGTGGCTGTAAAGCTGGTAATTTTCAAGGATACTGTGTAACTGGGGAAAAGTGATGGCAATAAGCCAAGTTAAAAAGCCTCGAACCCTGCTGTTCTCACTGAAGTGCAGCAATTTTCATATTGTTGCCAACCTTTGGTTAATTTCCAGAGTTCAGAAAAGGCAATTTGGACAATGTTTACAATTTGTTGCTTTTATGAAGGAGTGGATTTACAGAGCAGCCACATTATATTTTCAAGCCTGGAACAACTTACACTGTGAAAAGGAAACAAGGCACAATATGGTGCAATCAGAGCATAATGCTATTTAAGTCTTGGTGACTCTGCATTAAATATTTATATAGTATTGCAGTACCTGGGGAAACTACTCATTACTTTCTGTGCTTTATCAGTGATATAGGAAGCACTGTACACTTTGAGAAGTTTAATAACTTTATACCTACTTTGGGAGGAAAAGTACTATTAGGTTATTGATTCTTTCTCCCTAATCAAGTGAAAACAAAGAGGAATAAAAAAATGCATGAAGAAATGGCAGATCCTGGAAAGAAGATTTCTGATGTTTTCATTATTGTATCAGAAATGCAAACCTCGAACTGCCAGGGTGGGCCAATTGGCTGATTTAATTTTGTGCAGTCTAAAAGTAAACAAAACGTGTGAAAGAAGTATTCAGTTTCCATTACTGTACATATCCTCACGGCAGATAAGGATATTATCTAATACCATTCATCCCCCCAAATAACTGAAACTATAAAGCTCTACTTCCATATGGGAAAAAGAACTTTCTCTGATTAGTTTCCTTCCTAGTAAAATAATTTGAGATCCTCAAATAGCTACTGTATTTATTATATATTATAAATTCAACTTTTTAAATATAACTACATGATTACAATGTACCTATGTTTCAAATTCCCCGAAGAATGCCTTCAAAACACAGATATGTTGTAGCCTTGGACATGTTTATTTGAAAATTTGATAAATTATTAGAGTTCTCACCTCAGATAGCTTTAAGTGTTAGATAGCCAAATCAGCTAGGCTCAAACTAGAGTTCACTTCTCTATTGAATTCATGTTCTCTTAGTTCATTCAAGCACAAAACAGCTAATGCTGTCCCGTTTGAAAAGCTTTTATGCTGAGTTTGACACAAAAGCAATCACAAAACAGACAAAAAGGAATTTCTCTTTCAAAAGCTAGAAGGGGGAAAAAATAAATGAAAACTCTGAGCCTGGGTAAATCTCTCTTGACACTGGAAAAGAAAGTTTAAAATCATCAAGAAATAATTTTCCCAAGAATTCATAGCCAAGTTTGGACCAATCTTAATAGTCTGGGGAGCAGGTTGTGAAGTCAACCAAGACACTGCCAAATGAAATAAATCCCATGAAGACCATTGTTGGCAATTCTAGGTGCCAATGGCATATCATCTTACCTCTCATGAAAGTTAAATGGCACCGTATCTCACAGTATTCTGTCATAGCTACTGGCAGGAATTTTGATTAAAATAGAAATCCTGTATGATTTTCCCTAATTTCTGTCTTTCCCTCTCAAAACAACATTATTGTTTTGAGGGCCATGGATAAAATCAAATGAAGCCATGTGGTTAACAAAATCAACTACTGTATGTTTTTGTTTCCAAAATTAAGGGCTATATAGGAAAAAAAGAAACTAAACAAATATTATGCTTAAGGACCTGCTGATTAATTATTGACACAATAGGCCATGTACATTCTGTTGTTTTGCCAAATCAAAACTCTCCAGTTGTCATCTCACCCTCCCCATACTTTCAAGATGGGCTTTTTACAGATGCCATCTCAGATTTGATTTCTATTTTATGAAGACGTTGTTAATGTTCTCATTTTTTCTCCACTATTTTTTCTAACCCAGAGAGGAGGTTTTCTAATGTCCAATGGGTAAGAAAATGTTTAAAGCTGGAACTTAATGAAATATTATAAAGAATTAAAAATGATAACTATTAAAATTTATGTAGCAACATATATAAATATTTGGCAATAATACTAATTTTAAAATCAGAAATCAAAATTGTATCTACATTATGAAGACAATTAAAATATGTAGATAAGAAATGGAAGAGATTAAAGATAAATATTAGCAGTTATGAGTACTAAAATATCAGAATTGTGATTTTTTTTCTTTAGTTTAGGTATGGTGACTGGTTTAAAATTTCAAAGACTGTAACAGTGCTGGTGGTTGCCTTTGAAACCATTTCATGGTGACATTGAAGATAGTCATCAGTGATCAGCTGTCCAACTCTGTAGACACAGCCTAATGATTGCCTTACAAGGCTCACTGGCTCTCTTGCTAATCTTAGGCACAAAGACTCAGAAAGAATTTATGGAGCAAAAAGATCTTTGGTCGAATCAATCAATGTCTCTTTATGTCTTTTTTTCATAGTTTTTTTTCCTAAAAGAAAATTGTAAGTGATAAGCCAGCTAATATCACTCAGTAGTGACAACACAGTAAGACATAAAGTCCAGACCTCCGTTTTATAGGCTCCCTGACTTTTATAAGAATTAAAAATAGTAGTTTCATGAAAATGAAATCCAATTTGCAATTATCTTTTTAGTTTTTCATAGTAAAACAATATGAAAACTTCTCCCCAGTATACTATTTCATTACTTTTATTTTCCACTTGTTGGCTTATCGGTAATATATTTGCCAATTCATAATTACAGTTGTCTCCTTTTCTGATTCTCATGGTGTCTCTTGATTTGTTTTAACCACATGGCCCATGGAAAGAAAGAAAATCTGTGAGGTCATTTATAAGAGTAATTGCTATATGTTAACATCCTAACTCTGATTCTTATGAGAGCAGTTACTGAAATTGTCTAAGGCTTTAGTTTTCTTACCTGCAAACTGGGAACAACGGCCTTTTCATGGAAGGTTTCTGAGAGGTTGAACTAAGCCAATATATGTAAAGTGAATAGCAGTTTTTGACAAATCACAAGTACTCACTAAATGTTAGTTCGTATTAGCATTAGAGTTACTCTTAGTTTTGGCATATGTCATTCAGTAAATGACAGGGAAACACTACAGTTTGGGTCATCTTTGTCTGTATGATGAACTTACATTACAGTTGCAGTGATGTATATGATTAAATTCCTCACACACATAACACACCAAAAACCATCAGTTTCCGTTGAGAACAGCTGAGACATTTTTATGATGTAACTGTAGGCTGCCTATTCAAAGGCAAATTTTTTTATTCTCAAAATTTTGACAAAGATAGTGATTATAATACAATCTTGTCTTTGGTTTAGGTGTTAAAACATCTTGTTTTGACAATAAAATTGTTTTTTTCTCCTTTCATATTTTCTTCTGCAATTCTTTTTGTGTCTTATTTAAAGCTCCTTGCTTTTCTAAGAGCTATTAAATCCTAATCATTCTTGCCATTACTTTAGGATTCTCATAGGTTTTAAGATGATTATTTCTCATTTGCCAACTTCCAGAGTCACCTTCTCCTAATGAAACCTGTCACTGTATGTCTCTCATCTCTCCTTCCCCTCATCTAAATCAAGGGTCCACTCCAAACTTTTTCCCTGTTCATTCCTCCTCACCAGTTAACCATCCTGTTCCATGACCTGCTAGATTAATAGCATCCTAAATTTTGGGGGAGGAAATAGGAATGACATAACATACTGAATACCTTATGGATAAGAGCAGAGCTTTTAAGAATAACCACATAGATTCTATATTTCACATAGTCAGATCAGGAATTGGGAAAACCATTATTAGAAATTTATAATTCATCTATGTCCATCCAAGTGAGAAAATCTTAGTGGTACCAAGTATCTCATGAAAGAATGAAATTTTATTTGTCTACTCGTTGCCTCCAAATGAGGTCATGATACGTCTGTAAAATCTTATGTGACTTTTTCTACCAGAAGGCCTTTTTCTACCAGAAAAACATCTATAGAAGGTTTTAATCACTCAACCTGATCAAGTTCCCACCAATTAACCTCCCTGTTTAAAATTTCCTAAAGGTGACCCTTTGTTGAACATTTAAGGTCTTTCCAAACTGTCCCATACACACAAGGTTTGAAAGAATTAAGTGAATGTCAAGTGCCACGCATGGTGCTTGATAAAACATAGTCAAACAAATTTCATTTCCTATTCCTTTTTTCTTTCTTTTATTCTGAAGAGTTGTAGATTGTTAAGGGGACAAAAATGTGATGTAGTTTTGGGGGAAACAGGAGGAAGGAGAGAAGTTGGGCTGCAGGTCAGAGAACGGGAGGAGGCAGTGAGAATACACCTTACCTTGGCTGTACCCTCACAACCACCCTTCCCTTCTCCATCAGGGCCCTTATAAAGTAAGAAAAAGTACACTTGTTTGTTACTTTTTCTAGGAAGGAATTAACTGATTGCCTTTGTTTTCCTACCTAAGTATGTATATCAGCTTTGAGGAAATTTTAAAAGATGGTACGGTGTGAAAACCAGCCCACTATATCCAGATTATTAAACTGAATTAATTTTAAGATAGATATTACTCATCAATTTTCCTCTGATCTCTACTTCGTCTACTGTTCATTTCAGCTTAAATGTAATTTCCCTTTAAAACATTTACATTAAAAATCATTGTTTTAAACCTTGGTGTGATTGCATCCGGAGTACCCAGTATTGAATTTTGAAAACGCAGCTTTGATTCTGACCTTGGTTTCCTTGATTTTCCTTTGGATTGCATCCGCTGTGTAGGGACCCTCCTTCCATGACTCCAGCTTGGCTCTGGCCTGCCCCAAGGCCCGCTCAGCCTCTTCCTTAGCTTCCAGCCACTGTGTGGAGTCCTTTAACATTTCATTCAACTGTTGCCTCCGGTTCTGCAGGTGTTCCTGTACTTCATCCCACTGATTCTGAATTCTTTCAACTGGAGTAAAAGGAAAAATAAATACCTATATGTAAATGCTAGTCTTTTTTTTTTTTTTTAAATATATCTTTATTGATTTCAAACAGAGGGAGAGAGAGAGAGAGAGAAACATCAATGATGAGAGAGTCACTGATCGGCCGCCTCCCGCACGCCCCCTGCTGGGGATGGAGCCCGCAACGCGGGCCTGTGCCCTGACCAGGAATCGAACTGCGATCTCCCGGATCCTAGGTTGATGCTTAACTGCTGAGCCCTGCCCGGCTGGGCAATGCTAGTCTTAAGAAGACATTTTCAATTTAACATCCAAACATCTCATGTTTTTTATTACTCATAAAAAACTGGTCACCTTGTTATAGCTAGGATGACTGACAACTGAATTCCTTACTGTTTTCCAATGGCAAACATGAGTTTCTGTTTAATGTTCTCCCTAAAGGTGACCCAGAACATCAGTAGTATACCTAAAATTTTAACTTTGCCTATTCTCGATCCCTAGAACCAAATACGAATAAACTTTTAGAAAGGTTCTTCAGCAGAATACCGCAAACACCTCGCCCTTACCACTTCAGTATCCAACAGCCTGACGTCCAGTACCATCACCGGCATTTCATTCCCTGAAGGCTTTGTGTTGCCACAAAGAGTTTGCTTTGCCATCTAAGTGGCAGGCTAGATGCACCAGGGAACTGACACTTCCCCTCCTCCTGCCCCACCTCCCAGGAGCAGCCTGTAAGCAATGGCTGGTGGTAGTAAGGGTAGGAATATTCTAGCCCCCTCGATGCCAGGGGAGATGACTGTGAGGCGTGGGTTTCTCAAGGGTTCCAGAGCTCTCCCAGGGACATAAAGCTCCAGTGGCCCACTGCGGTAGCCTGCTTGGTAAGGCACCATCCTTTACTGGCTGCCTTGCCATACCTGTCTCACTTCCTCACTCCCTTACTTATATTTTTCTCAACTCCCAAACAAATCACTTGCTCTCAAAACCTTTTCCTAGGCTCTTCTTCCAGGGCAACCCAAGAACAGATAGGCATTCTGGAAACTTCTTGTAAGAGTATCTAAAAATTCATGCTGATTATGTTTTCTAAGTATGACAGGCTTATACTCAGGCTATTTTTTGGTATCATTGTGAGTCAAAGATGGAGATGGATGGGCTATAGCTTATGCTCCAAAATACTTCATTTTATTTTATTTTAAAAATTTATTATTTTTTAAATTTATTATACTTTTATTATACTTTTATTTTTTTATTGATTTCAGAGAGAGGCAGGGAGAGGGAGAGATAGAAATATCAGTATCAGTGATGAGGGTCATGGATCAGCTGCCTCCTGCACGCTCCCTGCTGGGCCATGTGCCCTGACGGGGAATCAACCTCTATCTCCTGGATCCTAGGTTGATGCTCAACCGCTGAGCCACACTGCCTGGGCAATACTTCATTTTAGGATTTTAAAAATAAATATGATCACACTATTTTGTTTTCATTGACCATACCATCTTTTCTTTACTTTGGTTTCATAAAATGGAGATCATGTCATAGAAAACAAGTAATAAACCACCATCCACTTTATCCTGTAAGTAAGAAACCTGACAAACCTGACAGACATTCTAGAGTCTTCCCTAAGCCTCATTGAACACCATATGTAATTGGTTGCTAATATCTCTAATACAGAATTTCCCTCTTTCCACATATTACAGGGCCAAGTTCTATTCCATTTTGCCTACGAGTCTGCAATAAACTCCATATAGTGTCCCGCCTCAAGTCTCTGTTTTTCAATGTAACGTCTACACTTTAGACAGAGTAATAACTAATATAGGTCTGGTCACCCCAATCTCTCACTTAAGCCTTTCAAAGTCTCTCCACCATCCTCTGGAATATCTTAGTTTGACATACACGTTCCTCTGTGATCTAGCCCGAATAGTCTGGGAGGTTTATTTACAAAAGAACAAGTCACAACCCAGTGAGGATGTAGGGAAACCACCAAAGAAAATACAAGAACTGGGCCTTGCAGCAGTGGCACTGTTCCTACAGCTACTGGCAAGAAATCAGGGCAGGGACAATTAGGAGGAGAAACCTCCTTGGAAGAGCAGTAACCTTTTGTCAAGGGACGCAGTCAGCCTGAGGCAACTTCACAGGAGGGCAACTAGGAAAGAAATATCCTGACCTCACTCGGCCTGCCCTCTTCAATTTCCTACTAGGGCTCCCCAGTGGCTAAACCAACTGGAAGCCAGAGGGCACAGGAGATCTATGGTGACACAGGTCAGCCTCCCAGAGCGGACGGCAGGGCAGAGGAGGGCAAAGACTGGTCATGGGTGGAAAATAAAATGCATACAGCACAGACTTCACTCATATGGAGAATCTACTGGACAAAATGCACTAACCAGCAAAAGAGAGACAGACTCATAGACAGAGGGCAGGCCGACAGCTGT